CAGCGTTTTCCCAGCGCTTGCAGCAACGCGGGCTAGAGAGGGGCTAGAGAGTATTGAAGGTAGGAGAGTATTTTGTACTCTCCTACTTTCAATACTCTCTAGCCCCTCTCTAGCCCCGTCGCTGCAAGCGCTGGGAAAACGCTGGAGAAACGCTGGTGAAGCTAGATCGATAGCTATGCTTCCCGTGCCCTCGCTACGCCAGCGTGCGCTAGCGTGCCGCTAGCGTACCGCTGGGATTGCTTGGGAAACGCCTAGATCGATTATCTTACCTTTCCCCGGCACTTGCCCGCTGGACTACCTGAAAGCGCTACGCTACGCAGCCGCAAATATAAACGCCCAGCCTAATCTGGCATAGCAACGGTCAGCCACATGTCATGCCTTTGCAGAAACTTACGTGGGCTTTGTCAGATGACAAGTGGCTAAGCCTCGTTGGAGGCGCCCCTCCCTACTCCTTCAGCGCTGTTTCTCATCGTATTTTTTCTCAATACTTCACTATCTGGCGTGAAGCGCTATCCATTGATGCTTTTTCGGCCGGACACGGCGGCTCACCTATTTTCGAACTGTTGCCGATGACACCGTTCATAGCATTACTTGTTAAGGAACTTGTACTACTTGGAGTGTCTGCGATCGAGGATCGCCTTCAAAAGCACGTACCGGAGACCTTGGGACGACTTGTTACTGCTGGAATTCGTGTCTGGGTACTTACAGGCGACAAACTGGAGACCGCTGTTAACATAGGTTTTGCCGTCTTTAGCTGTACGAAGCTCAAACTTAGCTGCGCTCAAAACTGGTTTAGATTTGCTGTAGATTCCTTCTTACAGACAGAAGATAGATAGAGTATTTTGGGGTTGGACATCCACATCGACATGCCACACTGTAGAATTAGTAGACCGACGATTGATTCCAAGTCACAGTATTCAAGCTCTTACTCATGGAACGGTAACATCTCAAGTTACGTTGATTTCAGGGAACTCATGCCGTCTTCTCTCCGCGAAAGCACCCATGATGGTGCTGTCATCGACCAGTGCTAAAGGAGCCAAAGAAGAACTGGGTAAGAGGGTCGATCAACCATTATAGTGGTGCCATCAAATTCGGCCGTTGCTGATCAACTTTGTGCAAATGGCTTACTTTCTTGGCATTATGGGAAAGGGAAGACAAATTATGACTTGGAAGTACACATCACCCCGCCTGGGAGAGGTGTGCTTACGGACTTGGTTGTGACTGCGACGGCGGCTGCACATCGACGATGTTGCAGTTCAGGAAGACACAAGAGAGGCAGACTGGACAAAAGAGGTGACAAAAGTAGTAGGGAGGGGCACCAGCAGGCGCCGCTACGCCATACTTCATTCCTGCGGGTGTGCGTCCTCATCGAATATGGACGTTACTCGGATTTTAGCGGAGCTTGTACAGGCCAACTTGTGAAGCCCTGTGAATTCTTGTTACCAGTGTGGCTCACTTGTACCGCTTCGCAGTTTCACAAGAATTTTCAGGTTTCACCAAAGTGATTCCTGGTAATTAGCAGAAACTGCTGATGGGAACTAACCAAGTAGCAAATGCTCCAAGCACCTCTCAAGCCATACGGCGTCCGTTATACATACCCATTATAAGGGACGTAGGCGACAAGGGAAAACGGGTGGAAAAGATACGACATGGCGTCGCGTCGCGTTGCAACGTCTCACTTTCTCACGCACAACACCCCCTCCCAGAAAATCTTATGGGACTCGTGCTCCGCTGGCGATATTGTAACTAAACCGATAACCTTACACACACACACAGAAAACGCTGCGCTTCCTCACAGCTAAGTCCGTGTGCACACTCGCTACCATAGTCATGATCTGGGCAGTACATTGTGAGAAAATCCAACTGCTGTCAACAACCGCTAAATCCACCCTTTAACCCGTTGTTCCGCCGATTGATATCGAGTTTTCAGCAAAATACGTGGCACTTCTCGGCGAAAAGATGCTCGCTCGACGAGATCAGCACATCTCTCTAATCGTGGACGCCACGGTGAGAATGAGATCGCGTCAACCTGATTTCCTGACCTGACCTTCTACCCCTACAAATGCTTGCTTACAGTGCTTGGACTTCATTCTGGTAGAACAAGCAGATAGTGACCAATTCCTTCGTTTGGCTCTTTGCTGTTCGGCAGTGATCTGCTGTCGATGCACCCCAATCCAGAAGGTACGTTGGTTTGAAATTCGAAAGGAAGGGAGTCTTAAAAGCGCTTGAAGGCATCGTCTGCACTGATCGCGTGGGCGGAGTTAGGCCTACCGTTGTCCTGACTAACGCTCCCCCACTAATTAGCGCTACAAAAAGGGCTGTTTAAAGAGCATAGTGTCAGCTTTACCACGCCTATACGATCATCGTGGACAGAACCGTAAT